ACCTAATGAGTTTTTAAAACTTCTATTTAATAATATAAATTATTTAATTGTTTATTATTATGGTTATCGTTAAACTGGCTATTTGTAACGTTAAGTGATGTCCCCCAATTAGTTTTAGTTAAACGACACTTATTTGTATGGGGCAGATGGGACCCCGCGATAAAGATATCGATAACATTAGCGGCAATCCCTAAATATTATTATGATTCAAATTAGATTTAATATATTAAATTGAAAAATATATATGGCGTAATTAATAAAATTTTATTTGTATGAAATTATCTTCTATATATATAAAAATGGATTGCTGTTCCTTAGTCTCGCTAAAACTCGAGAACAGCTGAACGGATTTATCTTATCTTAGTCTTGAAATGTTCGTGGAGGTTCAGGGAAGGTATAAAAGCTGAAAAAAATTGATTCATTACTGGAAAAACCATAAAAACAGCCCTTTCCTATTTCCCATACAAACGTTTTTTTTGACATTAGATTTGACAACTAATATGTCAATCATTCTGTCGCACTTCAAAACACGGAGATTTATGGCTTACAGGTAAACTCTAAAAATATAAATAAAAAAACGTAATAGATATTTCTTGATTATAGGGCGATACGAAGTTCGACAGGTCTTCTAGTATATGTATATATATCGGATTTATTACAAACTAGCTTTCCGCCCGCAGCTTCGCCCGCGTGGAGTTCGGTTATATCGCGTTTCCAAGAGAACGTTTCAAAAGTCTGGGATAAAAACTATCCTATGTTCTTTCTCAAGGTCAACTCTATCTCAGTACCAAATTTCATTAAAATCAGTTCAGTGGTTTAGGCGTGAAAGAGTAACAGACAGACAGACAGACAGACAGACAGACAGACAGACAGAGTTACTTTCGCATTTATAATATTAGTAGGGATTCGTTTTTAAAGAGAGACGCCAGCCTCACTGACGTCACTAATATCACTTCTTTCAGTACGTTCCATGATATTTTAAAATGAAACTTCAATTGTTCTTAATGTACTTATTTCTAGAAGGTTCTTCATAATCACATACTTCAATGGTCCACACTCACTGAACTCTGCCGTCGTGCGTCCAGACGTCATATTTATATCAAGATTCAAACATAGTTCTATTCTCCTTTTAAACAATCTTTGATTTCGTTTTACTTTTAACAATAATCATATATACTAATGAGTTTTAATAATAATTGATGACAGGTACAAGTTATTTTCACGTCGCATCCGTTATAAAAGCTGATAGCGATGATATATAAATTTTTGTTTGAAAATAAAGATTATTAAATAATTTGTCAGTTTTAGTATTTAAATTTCAATTTATATGTAAAAAGTCATATATGGCTTGATAATACAAGTATATGTTGAGGCTCTATTATTAAAAAGTAAATTCGAATGACATAAATTCTTCTCCTTCCTGGCAATTTCCCAGCTTTAGCCAGGGTCTGGTTTACATGTTGTGAATAGTTTTGGCTGATTGTTTTTACGACCGACCGCCTGCCTGACATCAATGCTCTTTGGGAATGCATTAATCAGTGGTATCTAAATAATCTTAGAAAGTACATATGACTCGGAAAAATCACATTGGTACTTGCCAGGATCGAACCCGCGCCCTCAGGCATGAGAAGCGGGCCTTTTTACCACTAGGCCACCACTGACCAAATATATATATAGGTAGTAAAAAAGTATTGAACCAATTTGACGTTTTTTTTTTATCAATAGACAGCATGAGAATAAGAGTCGATTATATTCAGCCATACCTATACATGTGGATGATGAAATATTGAAATAAAATAACATTTATTTCACAATACATAAGATTAATATAACAATACCAAATATTTAAAAATATTAATATTTAAATTCATATTTTAATATTCCATTAATTCTGTTGAAATAAAAATGTTACCAAAATTTAATTTTATTATATGAAAAACTTTATATTTATAATTCACTAATTAAACATATACCTATAGGTATATTAAATAGTACCAATGTGATTTTTCCTAGTCAAATGTACCTACTTTCTAAGAGTATTAGACATCACTGATTAATGCATTCCCAAAGAGGGTTGATGTCAGGCAGGCGGCCGGTCGTAAAAACAAATAGCCAAAACTATTTACATGTAAGGCAGACCCTGGCTGAAACTGGGAAATTGCCAGGTAGAAGAAGATTTAAAAAGTATTATAGTAGTATTATACATTAAAAAAATATTTGTTATCAATTTGATAACACGATTCTTCTTCTATCTTATTTATTTCTGATCTCATTTCTTATCAGTGTGACATCAATTCATCATTTTTCTTAAATTCACTTGGGAATTACTTTTCATGTAATTTATCGTTTACTGACAACTGATTAGGATTTTATTATAATAGATTAGAACGCGGTTCTGCTTGGGTTTTTCGTAAATATATTTCTTTAAAGGTAACTATGTAAATATATTTTAATCACTTCAAACTTTTCTTTATATTATGTACATATATATATTTTAAGGTATGATGTAATGTATTAATTTTTTTTTAATTAAAATTTATATGTAAATAATTATAGTATCATTATATAAGGATTTTACATTGACAGTTATTAAAAACTAGCTTTCCGCCCGCAGCTTCGCCGCGTGGAGTTCGGTTATATCGCGTTTCCAAGAGAACCTTTCAAAAGTCTGGGATAAAAACTATCCTATGTTCTTTCTCAAGGTCAACTCTATCTCTGTACCGAATTTCATTAAAATCAGTTCAGTGGTTTAGGCGTGAAAGCGTAGCAGACAGACAGACAGACAGACAGACAGACAGAGTTACTTTCGCATTTATAATATTAGTAGGGATGAAATACAGATGATTATACAGAAAAAAATATTATTATTATATATATAAATATTATCTTAAATAAATGTATATAAAATGGGAAAAAACAATATATCTACGTCTTTAAATATATACTAATGTCATGTTCAGTGATAATTTTATCATCCTCTTCACAGATTTGTCATGTATGTGTAACGAATATTTTGATATCAAAATAATTTTAAACGATTTTTTTTATTGAGCAAAAAGTACTTAGTTTTTTCTAAAGATATTGTTATTTGGAAAAAACATTATGTTTTGAGTTTCCTTACTATTGAATTGTATGTTTGAATTAAGCGAAAATTATCAAAATAGGCGTTTCATTAAATTACATTATAATAAACTAGCTCAAACGTACGACTATGTCGATTTTTCTTAGGTATATATAAAAGAAAGTCATGTTAGTTACACTATTTATAACTCAAGAACGACTGTACGGGTTGATGAAAATTGGTGGAGAGATAGATTAGAACAAGGAGACGGGGATAGGATATATAATACTGTTCGATCGAAAAAGAAAAGGAACTTATCCAATATATGGTTATTTATATCCTCTAGAACGGAATAGAGTTCGCCCGGTCAGATATACGTAGATATATTACTAATGACGAAATTAACGCGGACGAAGTCGCTGACAAGAACTAGTTTATATATATTAAAACACATCACTCAATGTGTGATTATAAGTCAGTTATGGCCTAGTGGTTAAAGGCCCGCCTGACGTCTCTCGTGCATGAGTACGCGGGTTCGATCCTGGCAAGTACCAATGTGATTTTTCCGAGTCATATGTACTTTCTAAGAGTATTTAGACATCACTGACAGATGAAGGAAAACATCGTGAGGAAACCTGGACTTATAGTTTCTCAATTATAAGTTTGAAACATCGCTTAAGACAGATTAAAATTAAGTTAATGATTGAAATACTGTTAACGCTACGTGTGTCGTAACGATGAGAAGTACACTTAGTAAGGGACTTAGGATTTCATGAAATATTTACTTAGGTATATGTACATTTTAATATTTTACTAAAGCAATGATAATCAAAGATACAAATACTTTGAGATACATGATGTATTGTCATCATCATCATCAGCCTATCAGAGCCCACTGCTGAGGAAAGGCCTCTTCTCACATGGAGAAGGTTTGAGCATTAATCACCACGCTTGCTCAAGACGAGTTGGCGATTTCAAACTTATAATTTGATATAAGTCCAGGTTTCCTCACGATGTTTTCCTTCACCGAATGTCAGTGATGTCTAAATACTCTTAAAAGTACATATGACTCGGAAAAATCACATTGCTACTTGCCAGGATCGAACCCGCGCCCTCATGCCTGAGAGGCGGGCCTTTAACCACTAGGCTACTGACTATTTCGACATGGTAAGTTAAGATTATTACAAAATTCTATTAGTAATTGAATTTTTTGTATAATAATAATGTTTTTTATATAATCCATATAATTTTTCTTTCGTATTATGTATAAATCTCTTCATGTATTCTCGTCAAACAGGGGAGAGTGTGCAAACACGTCACTTGTCATGGGGTTTTATCATCCCTATTGACACCCGGCCACTGTGTTCATGGTTTGCAAAACCATCAAACCATTCATAAACCATGGCAAAAATAAATTCAGTTTACAACACCGTATAATACGATGCAAATGAGAATATTTGAAATTTCCGCGTATATGTTCAAATGAATTATCAAAATATGTTAAATGTAACAAATTTAAGATTAAAACTATTAAATCATGGAGATGAAATGATTCATAGTAGGTATCTATATATGTATAAAAGAAAGTCGTGTTAGTTACACTATTTATAACTAAAGAATGACTGTACGGGTTGATGGAAATTGGCGGAGAGATAGATTAGAACAAGGAGACGGACATAGGATATTTTATTCCGACCGATACAAACAGATATAAAATTCAAATATCTGGTTATTTACCGCCTCTAGTGCGGAATATAGTTCGCCCGGTCAGCTATACATATATTACTAATTTCAAAATTAACGCGGACGAAGTCGCGGTGCAACTAGTTTATATAAACTCCTATAAACGAGATTCCAATACACTATACCAATTTACTATTCCAATACACTATTCCAACTTACTAATCCAAAACACTTTTCCAAATTCCAATTCACTCACCTCCCAGTTCTGGTATTCTATGGTAGAACATTCCAGTTCTCGCGAGCCATTCCAGTTGCATCTGGTGCAGCACCCTGTCTCCAGGGTGGTGGAATGCTGACTGCATCATCTGGGGTGGATACAGCAGGGGCTGGGACATCGGAGGCTGGAGTAAGCCAGGTTTAGGGATGATACCTATAGGAAGATATGAGTTTAGTTTTAATTAAAATCGATGATAATTTTATTGTTGCTCTACTAAAATTATTGTTATATTTATAAAATATCGTATATAATTGAGATAAATACACACACACATATTATATATGTATATATACATATTTGTTGTCAAAGTTTCCAAAACTATACCCGTCGGAAAACTGCAAATATTTTTCTGTTTATAATAATATCTAAAAACATATTATTTTGACAACTGCATTAACTGTATTATATTAATATATTATATAGCTATGTATATATCAAAACTTCAGAGAATAGAACCGTCAAGTAAATGTTTGAAGATTTATGTGATAGTCTATAAAAATAACAATATTAATATTTTTCATTCAAAATATAGAAAATTAAATTGATTTTCGTTTATATATGAAAAGTTTAAAATATGGGATATTTTTAGAAAGAACATTACTATTGTATTATAAAAATGTATACAAGTTTTTTTTTACTGTACCTACTGTGCTCACCCATAAACGTTTCAGCCGATACTGAGGTAACTTAACTTTACTATTTTCACTCACATTTGTATCACAAAACTCTAGTTTATTAACATTAATAATAAATATTTTAGAGAGATCATTATATATGTAAAAGTCGTGTTAGTTACACTATTTATAACTCAAGAACGACTGTACGGGTTGATGAAAATTGGTGGAGAGATAGATTAGAACAAGGAGACGGACATAGGATATTTAATTCTGTTTGATCGAAAAATAATCCCTACTAATATTATAAATGCGAAAGTAACTCTGTCTGTCTGTCTGTTACGCTTTCACGTCTAAACCACTGAACTGATTTTAATGAAATTTGGTACAGACATAGAGTTGAGTTGAGAAAGAACAGGATAGTTTTTATCCCAGACTTTTGAAAAGTTCTCTTGGAAACGCGACATAAACGAACTCTATTCGGGCGAAGCTGCGGGCGGAAAGCTAGTTATCAATAAATTCCAATATCTACATAGTTATTTATATCCTCTAGGTCGGAATATAGTTCGCCCGGTCAGCTATACATGTATAACTAATTTCAAAATTAACGCGGACAAAGTCGAAAGCAATAACTAGTATAACTTACCAGGTCTATAGTTATCGTATTCATCAGTGCCACCCTCCACTCCAGGTGAAATCGGAGGGCTGTAATTATCTTCAGAGCCTGGGCTTCCACTTCTGGGACTGCTGGAAATAGACCTGGGACTACTCGCTCTATCGTTCTGGCTAGGCGGCCTGTTCTGGCATTTACTGATCGTGTTCTGCTCGATTTGCGTATCGTAATTTTCATTCTGATATCTGGTTATGTAATTTTTATTTTGTATCAACGCTAAATACTTCTGCTGCGCCATTTCCTGGATCGTTTGTTCTGGTTCCACTTGTTTCGATAGTAAAGCATCTATGCAGAAGGATTTCTTTGTTATGTTAGTTTTATCCTCATCTTTATAGTATTTCATGTTTTTCGGACTATTTGACCTGCTCCGGTCTGGGTTCGAGACCTGGTCTATTTCCAGAGGTTTGTCAGACACCTGGGAATCCCGTCGATACATCTTTGACTAACCTGGAATGATTATCATCATTGTATACCAAATATTATCAATCTTATTCAAATTATAGCTTACTATTCGATCTTTTTAAAGAAAGACAGTTATACTTTTTTTTTTAGCTATATTCTTCTTAAATCCTATTAATATATGTATGTATAAGAAAAGTCGTGTTAGTTACACTATTTTTAACTCAAGAACGACTGTAGGTACGGGTTGATGAAAATTAGTGGAGAGATAGATTAGAACAAGGAGACGGATATAGGATATTTAATTCTGTTCGATCGCGTAAATAATAATAATTAATACATTTCAATATCTAGTTATTTATATCCTCTAAGTCCAAATAGAGTTCGCCCTGTTAGCTATACATAATATAGGTAATACTAATTACGAAATTAACGCAGACGAAGTCACGGACAAAAACTAGTATATTATATTTTCTACTATAATAATAATAGTTATAAATTCAAAATACTTAGTAAGTAAATAATAAACATTATAAAGATTTAATATATCAATAGTTATATTATGAAAAATACGTGGAAACCTTAAATACTTATAGTTTGATCGTAATATACATTGGTATAACTATTTTAACTATGTTTAGTTTGTGGTTCAAACTTGGCGATCCTTACCACAAGTGTGTTAACTACATACATTCGGGCATTTAATAGTTTTTAACCATCAAATGTAATAATATTATAACGCTAACATTTACGTTTTAACTTTAAACGATAAGTATGTAAGTACATGAGATCTAAGATTGAGTATTCATTTAAATGAAACTATTATTTTTGAATCTACGCGTTTTTTATTTCACTAGTGATCCGCCCCGGTTTCGCTAGGGTATAAAATTTAAGTCATATACTAAAAAGGGATAGATATATACTATATGTATATTAAATAATGTATTTAAAATATTTATGTATAAAGATTAATCCTGTAATGATTGAAATTGCTTTTAAATTGACTATAATTTGTCGTAAAAAGAAAATAACAAAAATATTATTTTGGGATATCCATAAGATATTTTCTATACACTTTTTCAATATGTACAATATTTAATTATTTTGATCCATCTTGATGCTTCATAATAAGATCTAAGATTTTCGCGAGTTTTATTCATTAAAATGAAACTAATAATTTTCGGATATATACAAAGTATGTAGTTCACAAAATAAACCGCGTAGTATGTAAGAAAAATATTAGTTTCATTTAAACTTCGACAGTTCAGACTGCGATTGTAATTTTACCTCAAAAATAATAGTATTTCTCCACTTTTTAAAATTTTTATACATATAAACCTTTCTCTTTAAACACTCTATATATTAAACAAAATCGTATAAAAAACGGTTGCGTAGTTTTTAATATTTAAGCATACAAATATATATGGATAAAGAAAGATATTTTTATACTATTTAATAAAACTACATACTACTTGTAGGTCACTACTACATTAAATGACTAATAAGAACTACTGAAAGATTTTCATCTCGTCTTAATAATGAAAAGTAACCGAAACGTCGGTAGTATGTAGTTTATAATAAAACGCGTAGTTTCCGAAATTATTAGTTTTTATCCGCTTGATGTTATTTTAATACTAATCCATTAGATTTTAAGACTAATGAAAATTAAATACGTACAAACTTTAAGTTATACAGTAATTAAAACTTGTTTTTCATAATATTCACACTTATTAAGGATAAAAAGTTTTGCCGTATTTTATATTTTTTGCCTTAGTTGTAGGTATAAGTTATTTAATCCACATCTTTATATATAGGTAGAGTTTAATAAAGTAAGAAATATTATTTTAACTAGAAGTTTAATTTAACTGTTGCTTATGTTTTTAACGGTTAAGTCATTTTAAGAATACCTATATTTTTATTTCGAGTTAAAATCGCGTTTAAAGTAATAAAGTAACTGAAATATAGGTTTACAGTTTTAATTGTTTAGTTCATAATCTTGTGGTTGAAGTTTAATATTACTCATTATTTATTTATAGCTTTTATATATATTTAATTTTAACAAAATAATTATTTCAATAACTATTAAACACACAATAATTTGTTATACATATTGCTAACTTTAATACTTCCGACTTTGTGAATAACGCGACAAGAATATACCTAAGTTTTGAAAAGGCTAAATTATTACATATTATTTTATACGAAAAAACGAGTTCTGTATGTTTTATTTCAATAAAACATACAGAACTCGTTTTTTCTCGTTTAAAGTTTAAGTTTCAACTTAAACTTTTTTCGACTTACTCAATGAAAACTTAATTTACAATAATATGTTTAAGTAGACTTACCTAACAAAATAAAACACAATAACAAAACAGTTTTAACCGGTAACCGAACCTACACGCGCGGCGTCTGTACAACAACTGAATTATTTTATTAAACTCCATATTATTGCCATATGTGAAGCCCTGGGCGTTACGACCACTTACCGATGGACCGGCGTCACTAATAAATCTCTCACACAGATAGTTCTATGTAACTTGGACGGCTCCGCCCCCTCTTCTTTCCTACTCTCTCAACTTGCTCTCTCAATAAGGTAACACTAATTTAAAGCTAGTTTTGTTTTATTAAAACATGAAAAATATATAATAATTACTATATTTATACTCAATTTCTTTATTTAATTTTACTTTCTCGTATAATATACAAGTATTATGAAAAGTAATTTTTTTTTAAACTCTAAACAACTTACGTTGTAATTTAAGGTACGCTTCAAAATGGCGGCCAAGAACAATTTATCAATTACAACACAGATAAAATTGATAATTAAAAATATTAATTAACAAATTTAAAAAATACAAATAATACATATAAAATTAAATAATATTACTAGTATTTATGTAATTTAAATTAATTTGTGAGCATTTATAACTGTGAAAAGCAAACAATGAATTGAATAAATGCTCCCAAACTAGAATGTCGTCAAAGTGAATGTTCTGTTGAGACGGACGAAGCGGGCGCGGTTTTGTAATTTTTAACCAATGGTACATTGTTAGAAGAAGAGAGAATACTTCTGTTAGAGGGAACAGCTCCTTGGCATATTTATAGAGGGTCCCGACATGACTTGTGGCTATTTCTGCGAGGCTTTTAATTTATTACATACGTTATACGTGGCTCGGACTTTTGTAACTTGTAATCGATTGATGTTATATCGATATTTGTAATGGATTTATTTGTAATAATCGATTGATGTACCTAATATCGATAGGTATTTGTAATTGATATCGATTTTTATATAGGAATCGATTTTTACGAGTATTATATTTGTTTAATGAAAGTTTGTGATTTTGGCTGTTATTTTTGATAGTATTAAGGTTTTTAATGTTTAAACTTATTTATATACTTACTATATTTATTATGTATTTCATCATATTTTATATTTTTGGTATAATTTTCTTTTTCTTGTTAACTTTGCCTGTTTACTGTGATGTAAGAAGTTTTATTATTGGATACCAAAGTGTTGCGTTTAATTGTGAACACTCGTGGTAATGAATCTGAAAACTATTTTAAATAATAGAGATGATCTTAATAATATATAATTTTGTTTCAATACGTTTTAATTAACCATCATTTTGTCGATTTTGTTTTTAATTTCGAGTACCTAAACTTATTTTAAATTTCATGAAATCGTTGTTTATTTTTAATATTTTAATAATCTTCATTAATTTATAAGAGTATACCTTTAAGTTATTATTTATAATATGACAGCTCCAAAACTAATAATTTGACAGGTTAGGTCAAGTTGATATAAAAAAATAGTTTGTCAGCCATTATACGAGAATAAATATAGAATTCAGAAAACCTTTAGTTGGAGTCATTGAAATATAGTCGTAAATCGTAATAACAAGAGATGAAATATAGTTTTGAGGAACTAAATGTAGACTCCAAGAAGTTCCTTACAGAAAATACGCACTAGAAACATAGGTATATTCTTACAAAATACAATTAAAAAACAATAAACATAATATGTACAAACACGATACATGGTTTAATAGATAAGTAACAAATGGATAATTATTTATCAATTACGATAATTCTAAGTCATAAACCAATTTTGCATCTTAGTAATTTTTACTAATTGTCAAAATTTCGTAATTATCTTTATTGTTTTAAGAAGGCTCATATATTGTTGATAAAAACATCCATACTCCATAGCTTCTGATTTGCTTCGGATTTTGGACCGGAGTTAACATTACAAATATTTCTTTGAAAATGATGATTATTAATTATCTCGTAATTTTTTCATCATAATACATTTGGCAGACCCTGGCTAAAGCTGGGAAGTTGCCATGAAGAAGAAAAATACATATAGTAATTGAGATTAATAATGTTGTTTTAAACGATATGTTTTGACAAAATGGCGCCACAAGTTCGTGACAATTATGATTGATATATTTTCATTTGATATCCTTTTGGTTATAAGTCAATTCACTTCGCCACACAAATTCAATATTATTATACGAAATAGTCATGAAAAATTGGATAATTAGAGTATGTCCAAAAAAAATGTGTAGTCTTAATTGGCTTTTGTTTTTTTTTCCGATTCATTTAAAGGAATTACAGTTTAAAAACTTGCGATAAAGTCGGGACATATATGTATGTATGTTGGTGTTATACAAAAACTGCTTGACGGTTTTCATGAAATTTTTTCATGATGTAGGTCAGGCATAGACTTTAATTTCTTCAAATATATTCTGTCATCGCGTGAAGCATCAGCTTACAACTCTTAATCTCTCTAATACTTAGAAGTTTTAATACTGGAATTTGTTATTATTAGGAAGAGAGAGGAGCTTGGACAGTGGAGGTGAGCGTTTAACGCGTTAGGTAGGGGTCCCTTAAACCTACACCTGGGTCACAAGTCACAGTCACTGTTGAAGCTCCTCTCACTACAACGATGGACCCGACACACGCACCGTGAATACATGGAATGATGAGAGGTTTCGTCTCTCTATATATATTAAACCTACACCTGGGTCACAA